CGGGGCCTCCTATCGACTGATTTTCCCTCCCCGTCTGCAGCGTCGGACAACCGACAGCCGACGCCAGAGCTACGCTCCATGGAAGATTTTCCACTGGAGCAGTCTCGTGATGACACTCTACGCTTTGCCTTCGACCAAGTGATGCAAATTGATGGTCAAGTGGTGCGCCCCGACGCCGTATTATCATACCCGCACTTTTCGCTGATTAGGGACAGGCTATACAGAGTGAGTCGCGACACTCAGACAGGGCAGGAAATTACGCAGTTGTTGGTACCAAAAAGCCGCCGGGAAACAGTTTTCCAGGCGGCTCACTATAACCCGATGGCGGGCCACCTGGGTAGCGACAAAACTCTGGATCGGATAGTAGCCCGATTTTACTGGCCAGGCATCTGGGCGGATGTGCGCCGCTGGTGTGCATCCTGCCCACAGTGCCAGCTGGTGAACCAGCCGGCCATCCCGAAAGCGCCGTTGCGTCCGCTGCCGTTAATGGAGCTGCCGTTCGAACGCTTAGGTATGGACCTCATCGGGCCATTTCACCGGAGTGCACGGGGGTATCGCTTTGTGTTGGTGCTGGTGGATTACGCAACTCGATATCCCGAGGCAGTGCCGTTGCGCAGCATCTCCGCCAAGAGTGTTGCGCAGGCGCTGTTTCAGGTCATCTCCCGAGTCGGAATCCCGAAAGAGATTCTGACTGACCAGGGCACCTCGTTCATGTCACGCACACTACGAGAACTGTACGAATTGTTGGGGGTTAAGTCCGTTCGGACCAGTGTATACCATCCCCAGACTGACGGCCTGGTGGAACGGCTGAACAAGACACTGAAATCCATGATTCGTAAGTTTATTCACGACGATGAACGTAATTGGGATAAATGGCTTGACCCTCTGTTGTTTGCAGTACGGGAGGTCCCCCAGGCCTCCACGGGATTTTCTCCCTTCGAGCTGCTGTTCGGCAGAAGACCACGGGGGGTGCTCGACCTGCTTAAGGAACACTGGGAAGAGGGTCCGAGCCCCGGTAAGAACGAGATTCAGTACGTCCTGGACCTGCGAGCCAAACTCCACACACTGGGTGAGTTGTCACGTGAGAATTTGCTCCAGGCCCAGGAACGTCAACAGCGGCTGTACAACAGAGGGGCCAGGCTGAGACAATTCACACCGGGAGAGAAAGTGCTTGTATTACTTCCTTCTTCCAGCTCAAAACTACTCGCCAAGTGGCAAGGGCCCTTTGTGGTCACACGGCGGGTAGGGGACGTCGACTACGAGGTGGTGCGATCTGACAGAGGGGGAGCCACGCAGGTCTACCACCTCAACCTCCTTAAAGCATGGAGAGAGACGGAGTCCGTGTCCCTGGTGTCTGCAGTAGCAGAGAGCGAGGAGCTGGGCCCAGAAGTCCCAAAGTCCACCGATCCCACCCGGCTCCCGTCCGACGCCCGTCTCTCTGCAGCCCAGCAAGCGGACATAGCCCGGTTGCAAGATCAATTTAATGATGTGTTCTCCTCCCGGCCAGGTCGCACGGACCTCATAGTGCATCACATTGAGACGTCCCCGGGCGTGACGGTGCGGAAGCGGCCCTACAGGCTTCCTGAACACAAGAAGAAAATGGTTCAGCGAGAATTGGCCGCTATGCTGGAGATGGGGGTAATAGAAGAGTCCAACAGCGCCTGGTGCAGCCCCATCGTTCTTGTCACCAAGAAGGATGGCTCAATAAGGTTCTGTGTGGATTATCGCAAGGTGAATGCGGTCTCACGGTTTGACGCTTACCCGATGCCCCGGGTCGACGAACTCCTGGACCGATTGGGCACCGCGCAGTTTTTTACGACACTGGATTTGACCAAGGGCTACTGGCAGATTCCCTTGTCACCAGAGTCCAGGCAAAAGTCGGCGTTCTCCACTCCGTTTGGGTTGTACCAATTCACCACGCTTCCCTTCGGGCTGTTCGGCGCCCCGGCCACCTTCCAGCGCCTCATGGACCGGGTGCTGCGTCCGCACGCTGCGTATGCGGCCGCCTACCTGGATGACGTCATCATCCACAGCACCACGTGGGCGGAGCATGTGCGGCGGGTGGGCGCGGTGCTGGAGTCCCTGAGGCAGGCCGGGCTCACCGCCAACCCGGGGAAGTGTGCAGTTGGACGGAGGGAGGTACGGTATCTGGGGTACCACTTGGGCGGCGGGCGGGTGCGCCCGCAGGTGGACAAGACCGCAGCCATTGCAGCCTGCCCGCGGCCCAAGACGAAAAAAGAGGTGAGGCGGTTTTTGGGGCTGGCAGGTTACTACAGGAGGTTCATCCCAGGCTTTGCGGAGCTGACCAGCCCCTTAACTGACCTGACCCGGAAAGGTGCCTCAGATCCGGTCCAGTGGACGGAGCGGTGCCAGTGGGCGGTTGAGGGGGTGAAACGAGCCCTCTGTGGGGAACCATTGCTCCATACACCTGACTTCTCTCTCCCTTTTGTCTTGCAGACTGATGCGTCGAACAGAGGGCTGGGGGCCGTTTTGTCCCAGCAGGTGCAGGGGGTGGACCGCCCGGTCCTCTACATCAGCCGGAAGCTGTCGGAAAGAGAGGCCAGGTACAGTACGGTGGAAAAAGAGTGCCTGGCCATCCGGTGGGCGGTCGACTCCCTGCGGTATTACCTCCTGGGACGCCAGTTCACTCTCTGTTCGGACCACGCCCCGCTGCAGTGGCTCCACCGCATGAAGGATGCCAACGCCCGGATCACTCGGTGGTATCTGGCTCTACAGCCTTTTAACTTCAAGGTGATCCATAAGCCGGGGGCGCAGATGGTCGTGGCGGACTTCCTTTCCCGCCCTCAGGAGGGAGGGGGGGGGGGGGAGTCGGTTCCGCCGGATGGCTCCCCGGCCTAAGTCGGGCGGTGGGGGTATGTGGTGGAGGGGCCTGGTTAGCTCAGCTGCAGGGGGGAGAGCGGGGGGAGTGGTTCAAGGGACGGTGCTGGTAGATGAGGAGTAACCAGGTGTAAATGATCTGCACTGATTCTCTCCTACTTAAGCAGTGAGCAGGATCCAGGTCGGGGGAAGAGAGCTGGAGCCTGCGAGCAGAGCACAAGAGCTGAGCGGAGCCGGACAAGGCGAAACCGACCACGCGCATAGTGCAAACTCATTCCTGCTCACTGTCTTCCCTTTTGGACAATAAAAGTCTGGTTACCCTCATCCTGTGTCGTGCGTCTTTACAAGAACCCACCGGTGGTAGCGCTATCACGGCTACACTGTTCAATAGGTCCCCACAATGCTGAAAGTATATGCGTTCAAGACTTGTATGCACTTTTACAGAAAATTAAATGACCTTCCTATACTATGATTAGAGATTCTGAACACACACATCAGTCATTGTTTGGAAGTCAGCGTACATAAGACTATTTTGGATGAATCTCTTAATTGGTGCAGTAAAATTATTTGGCATTATTTACTGGTTTTTGCTTCCTAACTAAGCATCCTATTCTTGATGAGATTTTATTTACCTTACAGCTCTCCAGGTGATTGGAGGAAACGTGACCGTGGTGGAAGGAGGGACGAGCATCTTGCCGTGTAAACTCATCAACGCTAAGGAATCCCTCACCCAGATCGCATGGAGGAAGGAACCTGAGGAGGACAATTTCATTTTGATTAAACCCATTACTGGAATGAAATTCGTCAACGGAGTGGATAAACGATTTGAATTTTTTGGGAACGTTAGCGACTACAACGGATCGCTACGGTTTTCCAACATCACTTTGAGAGATGAAGGCACCTACACGTGCATCTTCACTTTGTTCCCCTCTGGAAATGTCCAGACGAAGATACTTCTAAACGTGCTTGGTATGTTTCATTGTATAAATGTGTGTGAGAGGAAACAGTGTTGACCTTCATGCTCACATGTGGACGTCTCTACTTGCTCTTACTCTGCTAGTGCCTCCGCTCACAAGCCTTGAGGATAATCGTCCTATTTTGGGTGAAGAAGAAGTTCCCCTCGTTACATGCAAGGCAGCTGGTTCCAAACCTGCTGCAGAGGTGCGTTGGCTCAAAGGTACTTTGGCAGAAAAAGTGACGGAAAGAACTCACGTCACCCGTCATGACGACGGTACAACAACCACAGTCAGCTCGCTGTCTGGAGCGCCGAGCAGAGAAATCCACGGTCACTTGGTCGAGTGTATCGTCACTAATGCAGCCCTGTCAAAAGAGGAGAGGCTGCCTTTCAACATACAGATCTACTGTGAGTACACACACGCTTCATCACGCACTTACAATGTGGAGCATTCTTCTTCATTTATCATTGGCGTTTAGGAATTTCTCAGTTATTTAATTGATTCAATTAATTAATTAATTAAAAGCAGTAGATGAAGACAATGTTTGCATGTTCACCATCACATGTGTTCTCAGTTGTTTTGGCTGTCTCTGCTGTCGCTGTGAGGTTCTAAACTATTCCCGGGATGGATATTATGCGACTAAAAAAGCCTACATTCTCACATTATTCAGGTACTATTTAATGTTGCTGAGGCGGTAAAAGCAGCAAGAAAAAAACGTCTCTACTAGTAAAGTTACAGAGCTGGAGAGCTTTCTGTCTGTAATATTATGAGCACAAACCATCTGTGAGCTCTTGATGCTGATCAACAGTTCTCTTCCTCGTGACATTCATGCTGTTATGACCTCTCCTCTTGTCTCGTGGTTTTCTTGCTTTGCAATAGTGTTTCTTCACATTCCTGTGAAAGAATGTAAAGGGTCATGACTACATGAGGACAGAATTAAGACAAAGGACTTGGTCAGTCCAGGAAGAGCAACATGTGTTCCATGTCATTGATCCAGTGTAGAAGGACTGAAGTCAGTTGACACGCTCAGGTTACTCGTAGGTTCTCTGAGCACAAAAATGTCCGTACACACCGACAGCGATTGGTAACCAAGAATGTACGAGCTCCATCATGCAGACCTACTGGAATGTTATTTTTCTACTCCCCTTCCTCTGGTTTTTCCAATGGTTAAACTCAATGAGCAATTATTCCTCTTCATCGGCACCATTTCCTGAATTACTCTATTCCTGTTTCCTCTGCAGCCAAACACAACCTGCCACCACAGCAGCATCGCCAGCTGTTTTTCTTACTGACTGGCACATTTAACATTTAACACAGGCAGGCAAGTTTATTTATAGAGCAACAACAAGGCAGTTCCGAGTGCTTCACATAAAACTGGTAAAAACATCAAAACAGGAAGCAAAAGGAAATAGGAAAACAATTGAGATCATTGATTAAAACGTTAAAAACAGACATTTAAACAATAAACAAGCTAAATATCAGCATGGGGCCGTGCATTTCATACCTGGGTCTTCTGTTCCGTCTTACTGTAGTTGAATGACCTCATTATGACGCCACGGTTACAGCTTACTATTTGATTTGTGTGAACACCTCATATTCACATAACACTGTAACATTTAAAGAGAAATGAAATGTCACGTGAAAACTCTGCACACTCAAGCGAACGAGCCATTCACTACTTACGATTCTTTGTTAGTGCCTGAACCTCTTTCTAATTCACATATAACTAAAAGGATTTTAAATCTGTTTTTTCAGGTTCCAGAACCAAGGTTCTGACCTTTCTTTAGTTCCCTGATCACGGTGACACACATTTTTAGCTTGTGGTATTTTTGTTCCTCAAGCCAAATAAATGTAATTAATGCCACATCTTATTACGCATTGTAATTATCAGTCACTGTATGTGGCAAAACTGAAACCCCTAATAATCTAATCCAACTAGGAAGAAAGGAATGGCTTGTCCGTGTGTTGAGAACCAGTTACTAAATCTACTTGGTGGGCAGATGTTTTCCTTTTTTTTCTCGTCCACGCCCACATTCTTTTCACTACAAACCAGATAAATTCCCTCTAATACACCCGAGAGGCAAAACCCTCTCTTGAGCATAGGAACTACTCTTTGATCACAGTTCTGTAACATAATAATATATTATTGTAATTATTGAAGGAATTTTCTGAGTTGATGTCCCCCAGGCCATTCAAAATCTCTCTTCACAAAACCAAAGCCTAAACCTGGAAGCTAATTTGGACTAATTAGGATATTTTGGATTATTTTTTTGCTCGAAAAGAATATCTATAAAAACTATTAAGACGGCCAGTTTATTAAACCGATATAGGGAAATAATTCAGCTGAATGGGTGGAGCTCTTTTCCCGCAGGTGGATCAGACGTCTAACGAGAATACAAGTTTGCATATATATTTGTATGTATTTTATTAAATGAGGAGCTGTAACCAGCTGTAAAGGTCATTGTAGATCTCTTTCTCTCTCATTATATTTATATTATTTGTGGTTATTATAACAATAACACACCTCATTTGCTCTCACAGTCCCACCCACTGAAGTGAACATCAGCAAGAAATCGGAGGATGCATTTGAATGTGAGACTGAAGCCAACCCACATGCACAATTTATCTGGAGCAGGTACAGTAGCTGAATGAACCAGTTTTCAACAGTCAATCTTAACCAAACAATACTTATCTTCTAGGGGTGTAACGATTCATTTTAACTTCGATTCGAATCGCGATTCATGGTTGCCGATTCGATACATGGACGATCTGGGTTAATTTAGAACGATTCGATTCGATTCAGTGACTTGAAATCGATTCAGTAACTTTACTGGACAGTGCAGGCAAAGTTTCTGAGATCCCTGTTGTTTCTTGTAAGGAAATCAGGTTTAAATTAGTTATGGATTATTATAAACAAGCAAACAACAATTGATGGCAAATGTATTAACCTTTTATTTGAATCAAGTGCCATTTTCAATGTAAACATTACACAATAATTACACAATGTTTGGATCAATTTACAGAACCCCGGATTTTCAACCACATTGTAGGGTCGCAGGTCTTTACAGATAAACTTGGCAATTGTTACTGTGATGTTGAGTTTGGTGCTGGCGAGGCCTGAGGTGTCTGCAGAGCTGGAGTTACCTGCTGCTGCTGCTGCTGCTGCAGCGGTGACGCTGCTAGAGGTCCTGACTGTCGCCGTTGTTTAATCCCACGGCGCCTTAGCAGATGGCCGGAAAGATTCGTCATGTTTCCGTGGTTTTTATTTGGCTTCTACATATTCTACAAACAGCAACCGACTTATTTAGAACACCTCCGTGTTTGCAAAAGCCAAAATGTTTCCACGCGCTGGATCGATAAGTTGGTTTGTAAATGTCTCGCTCGCAGTCGTCTCCTCCACGCCGTGTTTTGTTGTTGTTCAGAGTTTCGCGCGGCTGCCGCTGCGTACTGATGTCGTCACAGACAGGCAGACTGAATCGAGTAACGTTTACCGTGTCTAAAGTGCTAAAAAACAAACACACACATCCATACCATTTTTGTACTTAAATCCAATGTGCAGTTTCCAAGTATCGATACAATCGATTATGTACCATTTCAAGCGATTTGTAATCGATATATGTCGTCCGGAATGCCGATTTGCAAAGATCGATTCAGTTGGACCGCAGGAATATAAATCGATTAATCGATTCAGTGAATGAATCGTTACACCCCTATAATCTTCCATGTTAAACGTTGTTTGTCTTTCTACAAAATATAATCAAAACTTTCCACTTTTATCAACATAACATTATTCAGAGTCCTAATTGGTTTATTTTATTAAGTCTTTATTTAGCTGTCATCTGAGTCTTGTTTGTCTTTTTCAGATCTGACCGTTCTGGGCTTCAGTCTGCTGTCAGAGTAGACGGTGCAGCGCTACGGTTTCTGAGCATGACCTCTGACCTGAATGGCCTCTACCAGTGTGAAGCATCTAACCTGTATGGAAAAAAACACAGCTACATCTATGTGCATGTGACTTCTGGTGAGGTCGACTTATATTTGGATGTGAGTTTTCGTGTCAGTGTTCTTTTGTTCCTGTTTGTGTGTTTCGATTTTCGAGTCAAAATGTGTTTTCATTTTTTCTGTCCGTCAATAACAAAAAGAGAGATTGCAGTTAAACAATCGATGGCGGTAAACCTATGTGCTCCTATGGAAAAGCTCTGATATCAGGGCCTGGAGTTGAATTGCAGCAAATATTTGAAACCAGGACACACTGGAGCATTTGATACGTATGACATGTGGCTGTGGAAAGTCTTTGTATCCAGAAACTGAAGGAACGCTGCTTGAGACGGTTTACCAACTACCCAGACAGTTGGAGAGGAAACACTGCCAGCTAAACAATAAATAATGAAAGTGTAAGAATATCACTGCTGAGAAGTTAAAGCGTGTATTTACTCTCCCATCCTGACCGTTGGCTCTCTTCTAAAAAAAAAAATGAAGTGAAATGAATGACCAAGTTGCACACTGAAATTGGAAGGGTGGATATTCATTATTCATTAGTTACTTAATTATAAATCTCATTAAATCAGGCAGAAAGATTCAGTAAGCTAGTCTGACTTCATCTGATAAAAGGAGCTGAGAAACCACTGAAAGTAGAGTAGGTGTTACGGGCGGTCGCATACCACCCTTAACATAAAGGCGAGACACACATAAACCGGCTCGTATCAAAATAAGTGTAACGCACCACAAGAGACCAGAGTGAACTCAAGCGCAGAGCGCAGTTTTATTAGCGGGGTACTGACAAGGATCAGGCGTGGTAGGGTCCGGTGAACAGGCAGGGGTCGAAAACCGGGAGCGCGGAGGTACCGTCGAGGGTCAGGCAGGCGTGAACGAGGTCTGGGACAAAGGAGAGGTCAATAACAGGTAGGCAGAAACAGGATATCAAGAGAACGCTCAGAATGTGATGGCAACATGCACAAGACTTCGCACCGGCTTCTGAGGCTTCGGCAGCTTAAATGCCCAACCTCTCCTGATGAGAGACGAGCCACAGGTGCGTTGGTGGGAGTGGGCGTGCCCGCTCAGTGGGCTGATCCTGAGTGGCACAAACCATTGTCACGTGCCACAGAGGGGTGACTGATATCCCGAGCTTCGGACCTTAGTATTCCGGAGACGGGGAACGTCTGTTTGTGACAATAAGCTAGGGGTATTTTATTTAACAAAATGGATATTAAAGGTATCTTAACAACAAACTAAAACAAAATACAAATGCGGAACGTTTTCACTGCCGGGTGGACGGTTGAACGGCGATCTTGGCAGCACCAAGCGCCGTTATGCACTCTCAAGGATCTGTGTGCGCCTCCGAGAACGCTCCAGGAAGCCTTTGTAGCGCCAACACAGGTTCTGCTCAGGTGTGGCTCATCTGTAATCAAGACACTGCATGAACCCAAACACATGTAGCAACAAACACAAGCTGGGGGACGTAACAGTAGGATAAACAACATTTAAGTAGGTACACGTGATTAACTGGCAATACAGTACAGTATATCATTTTTTAATACTTTTTTTGTGTCCTGTCTCTCCTCAGAAGTCTGCCGTGCCTGTTGGATCTTATTTGTGATTCTGATCATCATGATGCTTGTTGGAGTCTCTGCTCTGTGTTACATGTACAAGACGGGGAAATTTATACGGTACCGAGAACAGTAGTACTGCACACTTAAGTTTAATATACTGCTAAGTGTAGAAAATGTATTTTATAATGTATTGTATTATGTATTTTATATCTTTAGTGTGTTTATTAGGGACAGGACGGGAGAGGACACGCGTGCAGAGACGGCGACAGTCCAAGAATTGGAGCCACTGGAAGTGGTAGAGGTAGATGAACGTATTTTAAATTTGTTATAGTGCATTTGTGCTTTGCTTTTTGACCTTCAAATTATAACCTTTTTTATTACTAATTCTTTTAGAAACCAACGATAATGTACAAAAACATCTACTAAAAGAATGTTTTTTACCTGTTTTATTTACTGTATTAGTTTTTTTTCAGTTTCATGATAAAAATGTTTTTTCAGCAGATATTTTAAAGCTATTTTTAGACCGATTTGTAATTTGTTTTAATCAAATGTCTTAAATTGTTTGCTGTAGGAACACGTGGAAGCAACAAGCTAGAAGACAGTTGTCTCACTGCAAAGGACCCAGTGCTGACACCACGTGTGTGATTTCACAACAACGGCATCAACTGTTGATGACAACAAAGGATTATGAAGAATGTCTACAGGCCCAAAAGAAACTAGCTGACTGACCAATGTTTTCGTGAATAATTTGAATTGGGAACATTGAGGGTATGGAATGAAAACCTGAGAATATTGTGCAAATATACAAAACAAAGTTAACTAGCGGTAAAAACCGTGTGATCTCCCCGTCCCCCATGCATCATTACCTGTGTCAATTGCACCTGTGCCCCCATATGTAGACTCCCTCTCACAATAACACACTGCCACCCGTGGCTCCAGACATCATTTGCCTGAAGGCAATTGACTCGACAGTTGACAGAGGAGGCATGTCATCAACAACATACCTAAGCAATCAATTTATTCACCTCTGACCATCTTATCGGCTGCACTGCAGTCCGTGCAAAGTCGAATGTAAGAAAAATTCTCACTCGACACCTGGGGCCTGATGTACAAAGACTTGCATGGATTTCTTACTGAAAAATGGCGTACGATCGAACTCAAATGCCCTCGCACGCACAAAAATATCCGGATGTATCAATGTGTGAGAACGCATGAATCCAAGCCCATTTCCTTTGTAAATCTCAATCAACGTGGAATTGAGCGCACATGTCGGAGTACCCGACTCCTCCCTGTCCACGCCCCTACTTAAATATGCAAATAATATTTAAATGAGCCCTGCATCTGCGGTTCCCCTCTCTGCATGATCAGAAGATATAGAAAAAAAGAATGAGTAAGATGGTAAAAAAATAACTTGAGCGAGATGGAAGTGCTACTTTCCGAAGTGGAAGCACGCAAAAATTTACTCTTTGGCACGCTATCATCAGGAATAAGCAGCAAACGTAAGAGGAGAAGGAAATGATACAGGGCTCTCAGACGGTCCCGCATTTCGGTCTATTGTCACGCACTCCCGCCACACATCCAATTCCTCACACCAAGGAATCGGACTCCGGTCCCCGAGCCGTTGTTCAAATATAATTGTTTCTGATGTCCGACCTACCCACCTCCCTGGATGAGCTCATAGACCTAACTCGGCGAGTTGACCGACGCATCCTTGCCCGGTAGGAGGAGAGGCGACAGGGAGGGGCTGGACGCCTCCAACCCCGCCGCAGCAGTCCGCCACACCAGGCTTCATCCCTTCGATCTGGATCCCTGGTGGAGGACCTGGAACCTATGCAACTCAGCCGGACCACCCTGTCAACCGTGGAGCGCCAGCGCAGACTGAATCTGTGCATGTACTGTGGGGGAGAGGGACACTTTGTCTCCAAGTGCCCGGGAAAAGCCAAGGCTCACCAGTGACTGGGGACGCACCGGTGAGCCCTCCCTCCAAACTGTCCCCCATCAAGAGACCAATCTGCCACTGCCGCCTGCTGGTGCCAGGGGGTTCCCACACCCTGGCGGTGTTCATTGACTCGGGGGCCGACGTATCCATTATCAACAGCGAGTTAGCCCGGCAGTTGGAGATTGAGAGAGTGCCTCTGCCTCAGCCCGTGCCCGCCAATGCCCTGGATGGTCACGCCCTCGGAATGGTGACCCACCAGACTGTCCCTGTCCAGATGCTGCTCTCCGGGAACCACCATGAGTCGATTTCTTTTCACATCCTGGACTCAACTCGGATCCCGCTCCTCCTGGGGTTCCCCTGGCTTCGCCGTCATAACCCGCACATCGACTGGGCGACAGGGTCCATCCTGGGGTGGAACACAGCCTGTCATCAAGTCTTCCGGAAACAAGCCCTCGTTCCCCAGCCCCCATCCTGCCCCACTCCAGCCCCGGATCTGGCGGGCGTCCCGGCTGAGTACCACGATTTCAAGGAGGTCTTCAGCAAGTCAAAGGCTACCTCCCTGCCTCCACACCGGCCGTATGACTGTGCCATTGACCTCCTCCCTGGCACTAGCCCTCCCCGGGGCCGCCTCTACTCCATCTCGGCCCCAGAGAGAAAGGCAATGGAGGATTACATCAACGACTCTGTCCGCCGGCATCATCCGTCCCTCCTGGAACCCAACCCGGCTGGGGCTGGGTTCTTTTTTGTCCAAAAAAAAGACAAAACGTTGAGACCCTGCATAGACTATCAGGGCCTCAATGACATCACGGTAAAGAACCGATAAAGAACCGATACCCGCCCGCTGGAGGGAGCCACCGTTTTCACCAAACTGGACCTTCGAAACGCTTATTACCTGGTCCGCATCCGAGAAGGGGACAAGTGGAAGACGGTTTTCAATACGCCCACCGGCCACTACGAGTATCTGGTCATGCCCTTTGGCCTCACCAACGCCCCTGCCGTCTTTCAGTCCATGGTCAACAACGTCCTACGGGACATGCTTGACAAGTTTGTCTTTGTATACCAGGACCACATCCACCACATCCAGGCGGTCCTCCCAAGACTTGCAAAACTCGCTCTTCGTCAAGACCGAGAAGTGCGAGTTCCATGCCCCCTCTGTGTCCTTCCCTGAGTACATTATCGGTCAGGGGGACATCCGCATGGATCCGGCTAAAAGTATCCTCTGTCACCGCCTGGCCGGTGCCAGTCTCGAAAACAGCTACAACGGTTCCTGGGGTTCGCAAACTTCTATCGCCGCTTCATCCGAGGGTACAGCACAGTGGCAGCCCCTCTCACAGCTCTCACCTCCCCCAAGGTCCCTTTCCGATGGTCACCTGCGGCCGACTCCGCCTTCCAGACCCTGAAGAGCCGCTTCACCTCCGCCCCCATCCTGCGCATGCCCAACCCAGAAAGGCAATTTGTAGTGGAGGTGGATGCCTCGGATGTTGGCGTAGGGGCCGTCCTGTCGCAGCGGGCCGCCGACGACCAGAAACCCCACCCCTGCGCCTTCTTCTCTCGGCGACTGAACCACGCAGAGAGAAACTACGACATCGGCAACCGAGAGCTCCTGGCAGTAAAGGCGGCTCTGGAGGAGTGGCGGCACTGGCTGGAGGGGGCCAAACAGCCGTTCCTGGTGTGGACCAACCACAAGAACCTGGAGTACATCAGGACGGCCAGAAGACTAAATTCCAGGCAGGCCCGCTGGCCTTCTTCCTCACCCGTTTCAATTTCACCCTCTCCTATTGACCAGGTAGCCGCAACATCAAGCCCGACGCCCTGTCTCGCCTATTTCTGATGGGGGAGGAGGAGGGTACTACAGAGGCGGACACCATCCCTTCCCCCGGCTCGTCTGGCGGCTGCCATCACCTGGGGAGTCGAGGAGAGGGTCCAGGCAGCTCTGGAGGAGCAGCCAGGTCCCAGCGCCTGCCCACCCAACCGACTCTTTGTCCCGAGGCAACTCCGGTCTGAGGTGCTCCAGTGGGGCCACAGTACCCATCTCACCTGCCACCCAGGGATCCAGCGAACCAGAGAATTTCTCCGGCGCCGGTTCTGGTGGGAGTCCCTGAACAAAGACGTCCAGGAGTTTGTAAAAGCCTGCCCCGTCTGTAACCGGAACAAGTCCTCCAACCAGGCTCCAGCTGGACTCCTGCATCCGCTTCCCGTCCCTCATCGCCACCCCCAGTCCAATGGCCAGATGGAGCGGAAGAACTAGGAGATGGAGGCGTCTCTCCGGTGTATGGTCTCCAGCCACCCGTCGACCTGGTCCAAACAACTAATGTGGGTGGAGTACGCCCACAATACACTGATCAGCTCGTCCACCGGCCTCTCCCCATTCCAGTGCGCCCATGGGTACCAACCACCCCTGTTCCCAGCCCTGGAGAGGGAGGTCTCCTGCCCAGCCGTACAGACCTTCATCCGCCAATGTCGGGGCACCTGGGCCCAGGCCAGGGCCAACCTCCAGCGGTCGGTGACTAGATACTCCGCCTCTGCTAACCGCCGACGCTCCACTGCGCCCACTTACCGGGTGGGCCAGAAGGTCTTGTTATCGACCCAGTACCTTCCCCTTCGTGACGACTCCAAGAAACTGGCCCAGAAGTTCACTGGCCCATTTAAGATTCTCAAGATCATCAACCCTGCTGCAGTCCGCCTGAAGCTTCCGCGGACCATGCGTGTCCACCCTACATTCCACGTCTCTAAGATGAAGCCTGTGGTGGAGAGCCCTCTCGTTCCCGCCACCCCGGCCCCCCCACCTCCCCGCATTGTAGATGGAGGTCCTGTCTATTCTGTCCGACGCCTCATCCCCTCCCGCCGCCGGGGGAGGGGCATCCAGTACCTGGTCGACTGGGAGGGCTATGGTCCGGAGACAAGATCCTGGGTCCCCGCCGGTTTTATTGTCGACCCACGACTTATCACCAGCTTCCACCAGCAACACCCGGACCAGCCCTCCAGGACCTGCCCAGCAGCCAAGAGGCTCCGTCCCAATACCCGCACTGCTACATCCACAGCCGGCCCTGACGAGACGGAGGACTCCTTGCCCCGCATCCACAATCAGTCACTCTCCTGCCTTCCACACCTGCTTCGCATTCACAATCAGCCCCGCTACATAAGCACTGCACACCCAGCCTGTCATTGCCAGATTGTTCTTCGCGTTATGCAAGTCTCTCCAGCACTCTACCTTGGACTGATCTCCCGGTTTCGACCCTGCCTGTTCCCGACCCGTTCGTCTATCTCCGCCCCGGTGAGCACCTCAGCCTTCTGTCCCCGACCACGAGTCCTGCCTGACCGCCTCGGGTTTCTGTTGCCTGCTCCTTGGACTGCCCGGCGCTTCTGCTCCTGTGCTCCGGATCCCCAACCGGCCCAGCGATCGCACCAGCTGTCTCCGGGCATCTCCTCCCCGATCCTGAGGACCGAACTCTGCTCTGCCTCTCATTGTGCCCGAACGCCTGCTGTGAGGCCGTGTTTAATAAAAGCGTTAACCAAACACTCCGTGCCGTTGTGCTGCATTTGGCTCCGCCACACGCCCGTGTCAAATTGAACAACAAAACAGTGGTGAAACACTAGTAGGACACTTTTAAGACACTCGTAAAACATCGCCATCTCTCCGTGACTTTCTGCTGCGGCCCTCCTGCTGCGCTCACTTCGTTTTGTCTAGACACCCCTTCTTGACATGACGTTATTGCAGTTTTTCCAATTCTAGCCTTGGTTGTCAGCATCCATAGGGCTGTGGTCTTTCGCTACTAGCTTTGTTGAAGAGTGTTGTTTCAACAGGTGCTTCATAAGATTTGAAGTGCTACTTTTAGATGTGGATAGCTTTTTTGCACTTGCACTTTAATTAGAACTCAACACTACATTTTTGTCTTTAATTGCCGATGGTCCCGTCAAAGGGGGGTTGCGCAACGTTGCACGCCCGTGAACCCCCGCATGACTTTAACGTGGAGAGTATGTGGCCCCCTACCTGAAATGAGTTTGACACCCCTGCTCTAAAACAAGAGCTAATTCATCCAGACTTGCCAGCTTGTCTTGCCGCGCCCTAAATATTGTCATGTTCAGTCGTCAAGTCTGATATGTAGAGTGAACATTTAGATCTACATTTAACATTTACATTTACAGTCTGTGACTCACAGCTGCTCCTATTACCTGATTAGTGGAGTCACATGACGCAGCTATGCTTTCTGTCAACAGACCAATATGATAAAGACACTCGCCCCCCCTCCCCCCTCCACCCTGACCTCTACTCACTGTCAATCACTCAGTCAGTCAGTCGGTCTGTCTATTTCTCCTCCTCTCTCTCTCTCTCTCTCTCTCTCTCTCTCTCTCTCTCTCTCTCTCTATCTCTTCCTCACCACCCCTCCCTTCCTCACCCTCTCACCCTCCCTCTCTCTATCTACACCCCCCCACCCCACCAATCCAATAAGTGCACCGTTGCCGTGGTTACTCGCACACACGCTGCACTATCTCTGTCTGTGACTCACAGCTGCTCTTATTACCTCATTAGTGGAGTCACATGACGCAGCTATGCTTTCTGTCAACAGACCAATATGATAAAGACACTCGCCCCTCCTCCCCCCTGACCTCTTCTCACTGTTAATCACTCAGTCAGTCGGTCTGTCTATTTCTCCTCCTCTCCCTCTATCTACACCACCCCACCCAATCCAATAATTTCAAAATAAAAGCCCCATGGAGGGAATTCTTACTGTAATGTTTGTGATGAGGCCTATTAATTAAAAACTTCTTAGTTTGAATAACAAACATTCTGTCTCCCAACCCCCCCTCACCCAATTCCATCATTACAAAATAAAAGCCTCAATGATTATCTGTACCTTAACCATGAAGCGGTTTCATTGAAATACGTATTGCTCTTTCAAATACTACTACAATCACTAAGCATGTTACTAGTACTTATAGTAGTACTACAACTGATACTTCTACTACCATACTACTAGTACTTCCACAGCTATTAATACTACAATTACTATTAATGTTATTACAAATACTACTATGGCTATTAGTATTACAGCTGTTTCTACTGCTATTGATGCTAAACCTACTTCTACAGCTAGTACTACTAATACAATTGGATTATAAAAATATTCCATTTAATTTGTGATTATGTCCTAAAACGACGAAGTAAAGGTCTTGTGATGATCTAAATGTTGACATCCCCACTAATGTTCCATCGCTGGAATCAAAGGGCGTTGCTCACTAAATGGAATCTGTGTGGGATGTGGTTCGTTTTAGTCCAGTTTATTTTTACAATAAGCTGCCAGAGTTTTGTTTCTGTGGGATCAAAACATCGATCAGATCATGTGGCCCAGCACAATTTTGCCGGTGGTGCAAGATCAAAGGAATCAGCCAGCTCAAGTTAAAATCAACACAGATTTAATAACCAACAGAAAAAGGTACAATTACGAAATGAACTGGTCCATTGATAGTGGTATGTTCCAGAACAGACTGACAGACTGACTCTACCTCGACTAAAGACTAACAAATTGTAGCACTTAAATTGTACTTGTAACGTCACTCATCTATAGCAAATTGTAAATTGGTTTATTTGAGGAAATTGCACTTTCTTGTTTCTTGTTCTCCTGAGTTTGTAACCTATGGTGGAATGCACTTATTGTACGTCGCTTTGGATGAAAGCATCCGCTAAATGACATGTAATGTAACAGAGACCCTCCTCCTGAACAACTAGTTAGTTTAGTCGAGATTTCTGGAAGAATGTGTCTTTCTTTTTAAAGTGGTGTGTTTTGTGTCAGGAGGTGGTCACAGCTTCTTTACAGCTCTCAGCAATTGGCTGTGACGTCAAGAGTAGCTCCGCCCAGCTCAACAGTAGCTCCGCCCAGCTCGGCCGTGCCCTCATCCATCCTCCTATCTAAACAATGTCCCACTCAGCCTGTTCATTACCTGTCGCCCGAAATAACTTTTACAATTAATAATTTACGTGTCTAGATTGTTTTGCTTCCCCCTTTGTCTTATACCATGAATATGTATATAAGAAGAATAGGCATATAAAGCTGAATTACTGTTGCTGTTGCACATTATGCTGCTGACAACCAGTTAAGCTGCAGTTTACATCCAAGTCTGTCCAAAATGTCATCATTATTATTTTCTTGACAGATATTTGGGTGAATTTCCTGCTATCTTTATAAGAATTCTTGAATTAGGCGAGGGGACAGACTAAGAATGGTTGTAAAGGACTCTATGGAAAAAAAGGATGGAGTCACCCCCCGGAAGGATGCCCCCATCAGGAAACAACAAGCGGCGGAGTCAGTACACAGAGAGGCTCAATTCAATCTATGGGCTCCACTGAGCTGACGACACATTTCAATGAGCGTTAAACAACAGACAAGAAACCCTAGAGCTTCAGAGGACGTCAATCACACCGATTCCTTTGTGCGTTATTACATTAAAACCAGTAGGTCACTTCAAGGACTGTGTTTCCACTTGTGTATTTATGCTTCTCTTTGTGTTTCCTAATGTTCATAATGGTTTATCTGTTGTGTGATGTGTTGAATGTTTCCATGTTTGTGGTTTATTGTGAAGGCAAAGATGTGAGTTTAACAGGCTTCAGTTGGGGGTCGGTGCCCTCTAGTGTCTCATGAGAGAATTACACAAGGTCCTTTCAAACAAAGTGCATCACATTCAGAGACCTCAGCACAGGTTTATCTCTGATCATTTCAGTGGCGTCTCTGAGTGTGTGTTGCTGATATGATTTATAGTCATAGTATGCGAGCACACTGAAGAGTAAACAGTGAGATTGTTAGAATGTCTTCACTGTCTTTGGTTTAAGCACAAAGGGCGATGAAGAGGAGACATCTTAATGACATCTGCAGAGAGAAAGGACTTCATGTAATTAGTGATGTGTGGTTGTAAAAGTTGTTTGTGATCAAATCAATAAAATATTTCAAAGTAGAAGCTGTGAACTCCGTTGGGGAAACACACATGTAGCAAGTATTCTATTTCTATTCTTATTAGCAATATAACTGAATTTTTAATACTCTTCATGACGATGCAGGAAAATACAGAAGGTTTTTTCAAGGTTTACAATATTTTAAAGAATAATTCTCCATCCATTGTCTGTGATCACTTTTCATCTACAAGGTTGAAAAGGAGCAAATCCCAGGAGAAAATAGGAAAACGTCGTGTGCACCCTGAACAGGTTGACAGACTATCACAGAATAACACGTAGACACAGATAAACTATTTGACCTGAGCTGCTTGTTTTTAGATTGTAGCAGGAAGTCAGAGAACACAGAGAAAACTAAGTGGACACGATTAAGAACAAGCCGCCCTGATTAAGTACGTTCTACTTTAAAAGCTTTTAACATTAACAAAAATAATGCAATAGTGGTATTTATTATCCGTGGAGGGAAAAAAAGATACATAATAATAAATCATTTAAACAAACTAAACAATGCTCTCTGCAGAGCATCTACCACCGCAGGGTTCGCAGGAGAGCTGCCTCCATTTTCAGAGATCCCACCCACCCTCAAAATGGTCTGTTCACGCTTCTACCCTCAGGCAGGAGGTACAGAAGTGCCAAATACAGGACCACCAGACTGAAAAACTCTTTTTTCCCCACTGCCATTAGAGCCATCAACAGCTGAGAGGACTCTATAACCTAATCCACAACTGGTCTGCACTTTAGCTTGTTAGGATTTCACTTACTGTTACTGTAATGTTATTTTATATTGCACACATTTCATTTCATTTAAGTTTTTATTTTACAACCTGCTCAGTTTTGCACTTTTCCTCCGTACCTCATTTCTGCCTTATCCTTACCTAATTTTTACATTTATGTAAATATTGTATTTTCATTTTAAAATTGGTCGGATTTCCAGAAAAGGCAAGCACAAGAATTTCAATACACAGGGCGTGTGTAACTGACAACAAAAATGTTTGAAAATGATTCGCTTGTAAATGTCCCATGTTACTGTTTTTTAAAACATGAAAAGCATCCATTACTTTAACGTCCATCACTTGTAAGAAGCCACTCAGTAGTTTAGTCACGATGCGGCCAAAAGGTGTTTAGAACCATCAGAAGTGGTTTTCCTGCAGTTGAGCATTTCATGTAATTGTAATAATAAAATTGTGTTTATAACAATAATGAAGAACATAAAGTGAGGAAAGTGATTACTTATAATATATTTATTGGAGTTAGTTCCTCAGCATTCTAATTGTTTGGTTCCCACGTTGACTTAATGTCTCTTTGTTCCTCTGACTTACAGCACAAAGCTGAGCTGTGAGCAGCCGAACTAACAACTAACCACTTCCTTTTCTTTGCGCATCCTCCACAAATACATCGAGGTGTTAAACTTGCAGTCGTTCTTTCTCTGTCTGATGGTCATCATGTTCCACCTGAACCAAGCAGCTCTTCTCTCCATCACACTGTTCACGATGTGCCAAGTCTCTGCAGGTACAGAGGACATTTGTGTTTGTTATTTATGTTCATTCTGTACATTTAATTACAGATTGTATTTGTATTGATTGGTTGTTTCTTTCAATGTTAGATAGTAATGCAGTTGAGCAGAGGAAAATATCGGTGTACAGAGGAGAGTCCGTCACCTTCACCTGCAACGTGTCCAAGACAAAAGTATCGCTAATCCATTGGACCAAAGGCGGATCATCTTTTGTATTTCATGTCTCATTGAATAAGAGTTTTTCAAATTTCACTTCACACCGACTGACAATAGACACAAACTTCCCCTCAAAGATGAATATTTCAACCGTTCAGCATAACGATGCAGGAATCTACAGATGTACTTTATATGACTATAAAGGTACGAGGAGTATTGAGTGGAATTTAACGGTGTCTGAGGAACATGAAGGTAAGTAGAGCACAAAACTATTCACCTACAGACACACTGCATTTCAAACCTCAAACTGTACCTACATTAATTCACATGTGATTTTGTGCAGAATTCAGTTATTTGTGGTTATATATCACAACTGCAACTGAATCTCTTCTTAGTTTCTTCATCACAGCTGTTTGTCTCTACAGGTGAGTAATAGTTTTCATTCATTGCTGTGTGTGGAAAGTGTTGTAGTAGTAATTAACATGACAAAAGTTACACATTGTATGTGTTTTATTCACTATGACTTCATTTTGAAGCAGTTTATAAACACAAGTCCTTTCCTCTTCATCTTTGTGGACAATGACTTCCTCGTCACCATCTGTGCACATTGTGTGATCGTAGTGTGACAGTTACATCGTTAGACATTTCTGTTTGTTCTACATTCACTGAATTCTGTGATAATCATGAATTATCGCAAAAAGCCACAGCAGCTTTTGACTTTTCAAAGCAGGAAATGGAAAATGTGACTAACATGAAGCATAAAGCTTTATTCCCTGAAGTGTCCAGTAGGCCGTGTTAGTCAGTGAATATGGACAAAATACCAGAACACAACACTATTTGCAACAACAATATATTTACAAACTCAGAAGAACAAGAAACAAGAAAGTGCAATTTCCTCAAATAAGCCAATTTACAATTTGCTATAGATAGCGTTATAAGTACAATTTAAGTGCTACTATTTGTTGGTCTTTTAGTCGAGGTAGAGTCTGAAGAAGTGTGTCTTTAGTTTGCGGCGGAAGATGTGAAGGCTCTCTGCGGTCCTGATGTCTTCAGAGAGCTCGTTCCACCATTTCGGAGCAAGGACAGCGAAGCGTCGAGATCTAGTCGAGTGTTTTGCTCTCAGTGAGGGAGGGACGAGTAGTTTGGCAGATGCAGAGCGGAGAGTTTCTAATTACTAGAAAAGTTTTACATATTAACCCATTCTACATGTTTTTATTAACGTTTCATGAGCTACAGGCACATCGATCGTTAAGCGGCTCTTGAATGAGAAGCGTTTATAGAAGGTTGAATACGGACTTCCTCTTTGCGTTAATATATTACACGAGTCTGCAGAGAGACAACTTTGGAAATATTTTTTCTAAGTTTCCTGAATATAGTTTTACAGGTTTTTACAGAAGCAAATACATCTGACTTTTTAGCAACAAATGCTGCAGAAGAAAAGGTACAATAAGGAGAAAAAGAGAAGAGAGGACGGAGAGTTGGAGGTAAAGGTAGAAGAACCTGTAAAGAGAGACAGAGGGCGACAAACTCAAAGGAAAAGAGATCAGTAAATGTTCAAAGAAAATGAGAGATGGAGATGAACTGAAAGGAGAGAAGGATGAGATGAAATAAGAGGAATAGAAAAATAACCTGATGGAAAGATGCAGGAACAAAACATCTGCCACAGTTTCAGCTGTTGGCTCTCAGTTTATGTCAATTCCACTACTTATACAATAAAAATAAGACAATTGATCAATCACTAGAAATGGATAGTACATTGTTTTTTATCAAATACAGTAAGTCATTACTTTAGGTAAAATATCAACATATTGTCCCCAAATTTATAATTGTGAGAATAAAGGACGAAACAGAACCTTTGACTATTACAAAAAATAGAACATTGTGAAGGTATTTTCTGATGTTTATACTTCCATTTAATATATGTGTTATACCATAGTTGCAGCCCTACTAATATAGTCACAATCACACATCTTACTCACAGTGTTTCTTCAGAACAATTTATTTAATTTTCATTCTTAAAGTTTCTTAAACACTTTTAGCTGAAGAACCTTTTCCTTTTAAACGCATGATGGAATATATAAACCCTAAACTTTTATGAATTAGATCGTTTACTTACAGAAAGTATTAATGTTGGTCTCTGCTTCATATAATAATGTGTCTGAATCAACTGGAAGCTGCACTGGAGTCTCATCACTGGTCTCAATTTCATTTCTGCATTAAGAAGCTGGACCAAGATCCCAGACCAGGACCAGGAAAGAAAGACCCTGAGTTACGTCACGTTTCATCTTCAGTGTGGAAAAGAGGTCAGAAGGACTTTTTCATTACTCAAACTATTCCGTTCTAATGTCTCCTATTTCCAGCACATCCGCCTTTTTGTTTCTTGGAGCAATAATGAGTTTATTTGCACTTCTGTCTCTACAGGTGGCTCCACTCCAACCACACAGTTGTGTAGAATACAGTAAGAATCACAAGTCAGTACTTTAAGAGGCTCCCGTTAAGGATGAAGTTCAGTGCAAAGACGAACAGGAAATGAAAGATGTTGGAAAGAGTGAAACATTCAATCCACACAAAACCTCAACTTCATCAAAAATTAAGAGCTTATGAGTACAACTTCCTTCAGTACATCCTTATCTTCACACAAACCTGCTCATTGGATGAGTAATAACATGTGGAATCAAACAAAAACAAGGAAACGGGTTATAATAAAGAACTGTCTCAAATGATTATTCCTAAAGAAGAAAACAAAAATAAAAGCTAAAACAAAAAAGGGGGAACAAACCTTTCTGGACAATGTGTGCTCAATAAACAATAAAGAACTGTTCCTCCTCTGCAACGTTGGAAGATTTTCTGCCTGTTTGACACCAATGTCGTCTTGTAGGGAAGAACTGGCCGGGTGCAACATCTGGAACTGAACAATTCACAAAGTTCAAACTGTGTAACCCAGTTGTCATCTGTACAGGTAACAAAATATTTTACCGTAACTTCCGGACAATAAGCCGCTACTTTTTCCTCCACGCTTTGAACCCTGCGGCTTATACGACGGTGCGGCTAATGCGAGCGATAATGAGCACTTGGCGTTCGCTACAAGCGTTCGCTCATGCTAACTATGCTATCAGTCTGTAATAGTGAAGAAAAACAACTGCAGAACGAGCCCACGTGCTCACACACGCCCCCTTCAGGCGGCAGAGGTACTGACTCCGCCCCCACAGCAGTGACAAGCAGGAAGGAGGCTCCAGACCAGCTGCCTCCTTACTGCTCTTTAACTCCGCCGTTATGTCAGATTAGCAAGACTAACACATGTGAAATACAGGACCCAGACTATGGGATGTGAGGACATGTGATACAACTGTGTACAAGCATTACATTGGTGACGTGTAGAGACATTCATTGCACGTGTTTAAATTGAGCAAAAACATGAGCAGCTCAACCAGGTTTATGAGGGGTTGCGCAATTGCGTATTTGAGCAGGAAAATACACAAATTCAGCGATTTTGACTATAACAATCACCGGATTGATTGGAATCTAATAATTACACTTCTATCACTGATCAGTGGACAAAACCGACGTTTGCGGAGATCTCCCTCCATGAATCGGAGGTGTTAGCAGAGATGGTTCGCTCAACGGTCCCGGCGTTCATACCCAATGCTAGACCGAATATTATCGCAGTACAAATAACACAAGTGGAGCATCATGGCTGTTTGACTTGAACTGAGTCGTCTTTATTGAACGCAGGTTCACTTGACCTCTGTTAGGTCACATGTCCATTCAGGGGCATCCTATTGGCTACCGCTTAACACACAATACTGTATATAATGTATAGTTACCAGTAAATATAACAGATTGTGACAATGGAGGGCATATACTCATATATGTTAACAGGAGGCCATCCGCGCGTCCTTATAGTCCGCCAATGACGGGTTGTAGAAGTGGTCATATTTACGGATTTCTTCCGACAAAAGCTCTTCAATCTGATCCGTTCTCTCATAAACATTCTCCGTTTCAATAATGGCAGAGACTCTGTGAGACTCCATAAAGGATGTAGTTACCAGACCAATCACAGCCTTGCGGGCTGTGAGAAGCTTGCGTAGATTTTGGCGCTAGTCTAGAAAAATGGGTTGAAGCACGCAAGGAGGTGTGAAAAGGTACGCAAGGGACACGCAAGGGGCTCTTGCGTCTGCGTGTCCTTGCGTCTCTCTGAAAACGCAGAAGCATAAATTAGGCTTAAAGAGGAAAGGGCTCGGAAGACAATTTAGACTCCGCTAAAAGCGGACCACTGTACATCTTCTCCAAGCTACACGGGACCTGCCCGGCCTGGAGCGGAGCTCCTGAGGACGTCTGTGTCCCTCCCCGTGTGTTGTGAGGTGTGGACTGAGTGCGTGCTAGTGTCCGTAGTGGATTTATCTCACGTGACCCAGCGGCTCACCGGAGTCCGACAACCCCAAAAATCCTCTCTTCTCCGGTTGGACTCTCCCTTTTATAATACCAGAAAGTCCGGAGATTCATGAAAGTCCCCAAAAAAAACACAAAGAAGGGAAGCATCCACCTGCACTTGTGCATCACATCTCCTCGCAGAACTGCTGTCACTTTGGTCCATTACACAAACACATCTCATATATCACAACATGTATATTTTGCGTTTTACAGTTTTAGGTGACATGCGCATATAAATTAAGAAAAACCAACACCTGCACATATATAGGTGTGTCAATAAGGATAACTTTATACTTTTTATAATACCGTGGTTAAGCCTTTAGGTAAAACTACAGAGCATCTCTTTTATATGTACTCCATAATATGGGTGATTATTTTATCAAAAAGTTTGGTCCTTCTTATAAGATTAAAACATAGGCACTTTGGATTCATGTGTCCCCTTTTCCTATCCCAGACCTTTAATAGTTCTTAGTCGTTAAAAAGTATTATACCAACATTATCAATTTTAATAAATAATAAACACCATAATAGTTGGCGGCGGTAGTGAATTTGTGAGTTTGCAAAACGTCCATAAATCTGGTGAAGAGGGAGGTGCGTGCACACCCCAGCTTATGGCTTGCAATGCGACTTTATCATTCACTACAGTACAGCAAACTAATGGATAACTCATTCCTTAGTACCGGGAGGCTTTTAGTTTGGACTGCGTTCATCCTGACCACAGTTGTTGAAGGTATGTAAGCCTTGATACATGTTTTTCTTTTAAACAACTAACGAGGACGTAATTCACCTTCTTTGTAACTTCATTTCTATCTAGTCAGCCCACCAGGATCTTTAAATCTGTTAAGAAAAGTCTAGCATGGACTTATTAATTAACTCGCTGTTTATTTTTTCACTAAATACAATGGAACATATCTTGTTAATTTTTTGATTTTCTGAAGCAGTGATGTTCTCTTTTGACCTTCAGGGCCACAGAACATTGGTCTTTGCAATAACAAAATCCATAAATCGTTAAACTACACAGTATGGTCTGACGGAGGGTGTGACATTGTGTGGGCGATTGTGGACAACTGTGGGTGAGTGGGGAGCACGGTCGTCCTCCAATCAGAGGGTTGTCGGTTCGATCCCAGGCTCTGCTAACCCGCATGTCGATGTGTCCTTGAGCAAGACACTTAACACAACATTGCTCCTGTAGCTGCGACTACAGTGTGTGAATGTTAGTTACTGATGGTAGGTGTCACTGTGTATGGTTCTCCTGTCATCAGTGTATGGATGGGTGTGAAGGGGTGAATGATGTCATGTAGTGTTAAAGCGCTTTGAGTGGTCGGAAAACTAGAAAAGCTCTATACAAGTATACAGTCCATTCACTATTTAGAGCAGTTTTTCCTGTGAGGGCCACATAACTTTTCCCCCCTCTGACGGGGGCCGGGGTCAGTTTGTAACAAAAAAAGTGTGACAATCGCAGGGGTGCCTAAGTGTAAACATTTATTGTTTTCCAGAAAGCCACACATAACCAAATATTAATAACCCTCACAGAAAAAAAGTCCATTGAACATTAACTTTCTGTTCAGCTTAACAGGTAAAATATTAGCTTAGTTGTCAGAGCAGAATCTCTTACTTAAATGACTCAAATGAGCAGTCTCTCAAAGTTCTTGGAGATGGATTTCATCCCAGTAGATTTTATTATGATTACATTTGTTTATGCTCTGAATGACTCATTCAAGTCAGAAAAGTGAGCTTATGTTCATCAGTGTGAACTGTGGGCCTGCATGGTAAGAAGCTGAATGTCCGGTTCCATTCTAGTCACAGCCAGTCTCAAACACTGATGCAGATGTTCATCTGTCAATCTTGATTTCATCAGAGTTTCCAGGTGTTTCATGTGTGAAAAGGTTTGCTCCCAAATATACGTGCTGCCAAAAAGTGTAAACATCTTCATTGCATGTTTTTTTTATGTTAGTGTACATGTCGTTTAGGAGGGCAGCATAGAAGTCAATGAGCCGGTTGGGCTTGAATGCGTCTTTCAGAAAATCACAGTTCTGTAACTCAGCCAACTCAAAAAAAAATACATTTTGAGGGACAATCGTCATGCTGGTGTGTCCAACATGCTAAAGAACAGGTAGTCTGTTGCAATGGTTCCCAACCCAATTCCAGCCCGATGGTTTTTTTTGCCAGTTTAGGCTTGTGAGAGATTCTGCTCAGCACTGGTGTGAATCAATCCATGTGTTTCAACTGGTTTGTGTTTCCTAACTGGGAATCTGATTCTTGATGTGATTTTATTTACCTTACAGCTCCCCAGGTGATTGGAGGAAATGTGACTGTGGTGGAAGGACGGACGGACATCTTGCCGTGCAAACTCATCGATCCTGATGACTCTGTACTCAGCCACATTGCATGGAGGAAGGAACCTGAGGAGGAGAATTTCATTGTGATTGACCCTGCAACTGGAATGAAGTTCATCAACGGAGTGGATAAACAATTAGATTTTTTAGGGAACGTTAGCGACTACAACGGATCGCTACGGTTTTCCAACATCACTTTGAGAGATGAAGGCACCTACACGTGTATCTTCACTTTGTTCCCCATCGGAAATGTCCAGACGAAGATACTTCTAAACGTGCTTGGTATGTTTCATTGTATAAATGTGTGTGAGAGGAAACCGTGTTGACCTTCATGCTCACATGTGGACGTCTCTAACTTGCTCTTACTCTGCTAGTGCCTCCGCTCACAAGCCTTGAGGATAATCGTCCTATTTTGGGTGAAGAAGAAGTTCCCCTCGTTACATGCAAGGCAGCTGGTTCCAAACCTGCTGCAGAGGTGCGTTGGCTCAAAGGTACTTTGGCAGAAAAAGTGACAGAAACAACTCACGTCACCCGTCATGGCGACGGTACGACAACCACAGTCAGCTCGCTGTCTGGAGCGCCGAGCAGAGAAATCCACGGTCACTTGGTCGAGTGTATTGTCACTAATGCAGCCCTGTCAAAAGAGGAGAGGCTGCCTTTCAACATACAGATGTACTGTGAGTACACACACGCTTCATCACGCACTTACAATGTGTGGCGTATTCATCTTCATTTATCATTGTCCTTCTTGGTTATTCAATTAATTAAATGAATTGTTTAAGAGTAGTGGATGAAGACAATGTTTGCATTGTTCACCATCACATGAGCTCTCAGTTGTTTTGGCTGATTGGGTCTCTGCTGAGGCTGAAGCGGTTCAAAGTTATTCCCGGAATGAATATTATACGACTAGAATAAATACGTTTTCTTGTCATTTTTCAGGTAAAATTAAATGTCGCTAAGGCGGCTATGGCACAGCTCTTCTTAGATTCAAGTTACAGAGCTAGAGAGCTTTTTGTAATATTATGAGCACAAATACATCAATACAATACATTTGTGAACGCTTCAAGCTAATTAACAGTTATAATTGTGGGTTTCAATAACACAGCTCATTTCCTCTCACAGTTGCACCCACTGAAGTGAAAATCAACAGGAAATCGGAGGATGTATTTGAATGTGAGACTGAAGCCAACCCACATGCACATTTTACCTGGAGCAGGTACAGTAGCTGAATGAACCAGTTTTTAATCGGTCAATCTTACCGAACGATACTTTCATGTTGAACGCTGTTTGTGAATTAAAACACTTATTTATCATTTTAATTTGAATCATTTTCTCTTATTTTGAAAGGCAGCTCTACTTTTATTTAGTTATTAAGACAAGAGTTTTAGAATCGTCTGAATTCATTCAAGTAGTTACTTAGGTATGTTTGTCTTTCTCACACACTTTCTACAAAGTCACAGTTCATGTTCATCACTGGTCGGCTCTTCACACTCACCTTCTCTCCCAATGCTACAGCTCCAAAAAATAATCATAACTTTCCACTTTCGGCACAACTCAACATTGATCGGACTGCTGGTTGTAAGTCTTTATTTAGCTGTCTGCTGAGTCTTGTTTGTCTTTTTCAGATCCGACCGTTCTAGGCTTCAGTCTGCTGTCAGAGTAGAAGGTGCAACGCTACGGTTTCTGAGCATGACCTCTGACCTGAATGGCCTCTACCAGTGTGAAGCATCCAACCTGTATGGAAAAGAACACAGCTACATCTATGTGCATGTGACTTCTGGTGAGGTTGAGTTTAGTTTGGATCTGAGTTTTTGTTCCTGTGTGTTTCAATTTTTGTCAATAACAAAAAGAGAGATTGCCGTTAAATAATTTATGGAGGTAAACCTATGTGCGAGACTCTGATATCACGGCCTGGAGTTGAATCTCAGCAGATATTTGGAAACCAGGCTGTGGAACGTCTTTGTATCCAGAAGCTGAAGGAACGCTGCTTGAGACGGTTTACCAACAACCCAGACAGTTGGAGAGGAAACGCTGCCAGCTAAACAATAAATAATGAACGTCTCAGAATATCACTGCTGAGAAGTTAAAGCATGTCTTGACTTTCCCATCCTAAGCATTGGTTCTCTTCTATAAAAATGAAATGTTTTCACAAGGAATCATCAGTTGCGCATTGACATTTAAAGCTGGACATTCATCAGTCATGACTTGCTCATTAAAGCAGGCAGAAAGACTATTTTCAAACCTCCTGGTCTAACTTCATCTGATAAAAGAAGCTGAGATACCACATGGTTTGGCAAAAACGCAAAACAAAAACAAAATGCATGTAGATATACCGCAATAACTGGGAATGTGCAGTATATGAGTTTTTCCTTTTGGCTTTTGTGTCCTGTCTCCCCTCAGAACCCCATAACTGGTGGAGCTATTTGGGCTTTTGATTATCCTGCTTCTTGGAGTCATTGCATGTATGATATGGCGACCTTTCTAAGGTACGGAGAACAGTAGTACTGCTCACACATAAGTTTAAGTGCTAAGTGTAGAAAAATATTTTCTGGAAATCTTTTGTGTGTTAATTGAGGACAGGACAGGAGTGGACAGACATGTCCATGACTGTCCAAGAAGCAGAGACTTGAAGTTGAGGGAGAAGAAAAATGTATTTTTAAATTTGTTTTTATAACCTTCAAATTCTAACCTTTATTCTCACCGATTCTTCACCGATAATAATGTACAAAAAACCCTCTACTTAAAAAAATGTTTTTTCCATTTTATGAAGAGCAGATAACGTAAAGCTCCTTTCAGACTCATTTGTAATTTATTTTAATCAAATGTCTCAAATTGTTTGCTGTAGGCACCTTGTGGATAAACGTGGAGGCAACAAGAAGACAGATGTCTCACTGCAAAGGACCCACTGCTGACACCACTTGTGTGATTTCACAACAACAGCATCAACTTCATCAACAAAGGATTGTGAAGAATGTCTACATGCCCAAAATAAAATATGTGACTGATCAACAATGTATTCGTGAGAATTAAGAACCTTGAGACAGACAATGTGACAATAGACAACAAGACAGCAGTGCACAAGTAATAAAATAAAGTAAAATGAAATGCTAATGCAATGGGTTAGTAGAATAAGGCATAAATGTCTTATGACATACATTTTGACACCCCCACTATTGTTCATCCACAAAATCAAAAGGCTTTGCACATCAAATGGTATATTTTTTAATTATATTAAAAATACATTTTCACAAATAGTAAATAGGTGTCTAAGCAGTTTAGCCATTCAATGATTAAAGTTTATGAGTGACATATCATTTCAGAGTCGTAAAGTACTTTCACTTTTGGGCTCGACCTTCGATAAGACAGATAGCGGCATATTACAAATAAAAAGACGCAGGGAAGAAAAAGAAATAGGAATATTTTTGAAGGAGACGAGTGAGATAGAAAGTGAAAGAAAAGTAAGTAACCATAAAGATGAAAGTGGAGCATTTAATCTATAACGGACGAACACTAATCTCTTCATACTTCCCCCAAAATAGTGGAGGAATGAAAATATTCTAATGTGTTTAGATATATCATTTTCTGAGAATGAATGAATGAATCCAAATGTGAAACAGAAAAAGGGGCCTTACTTCCCTTTACTTTATTTTTCTGAATTGAAACACTTTGTATGAACATGTACAATTTTAACATTTAACATTTTATTTATTTTCTCTTATTTTGAAATGCAGCCCTACTTTTCATTAATTGGATTGCAAATGACTTTTCCAATTAAGAGTTATTAAGAGTACATTGTTTCTATTTGCTGTCATACATTTATACTCAGGTCTTAGTAATAGTTTTGAATCGTCTGAATTCATTCGATTTGTCGCTCGTGTATTGATTACATGCAGATGTTGATACAACTCTATTTAATCACACTGTGTAGTTACATTATGGTCTTAACACATAGGTATTGGTAGACGTATGGTACAGAAAGACATACAACCCATCAACAAACACAGGTAAACACTTCCACTGCCTTCCCTTTTAGATGTTTGTACGGCGCTGAGATCATCGAGGCCTGTGTTGGCAACGGTGAGGATGATTGTGGCTACCTTGTTGACGAACATCAATTCTCAGACAGTTTTCATACATAGCTTCTTCTCTCTCCTGGTGTTAAAAAAAACAGCAAAAATAAAGAAAATGCTAACTCTGACTCAAAGCATAATTATAGTTCAGTTTGATCTCAGTAATCCTGCAGAACATATTGCAATAGTTCTCCTGTAGTGATGTTATTTAGCATTTTAATTCATTGTCAACATCTCAAATGGAAAATTGCTAATTATTATATTTACCATTTCTGCAGGGGGAGAACGACCCCTGAAAGAGAGTGACATTTGTTTTATATGTATGCTTAATGCAGCTGGCCGTACGTCATTGTGAGCATAGGATCACGTGGTAAAGAATGGCGGGATGCAACTTACTCTGCATGTTGAATGCGGACCCTGTGCAGAATGATCCAAGCTAATATAAAGATCAGGCAACACACACATGGAACAGCAGATGCCACTGTAATGATCAGCGTGTTTTCTGATTTTCCCGGAGCTGAAAAAAACGGAATTAAACCATACGGTAAGTCTACGAGGAAGTTAAATAAAGCTCAGACCCATCAGAAGATCTTGCACGTGTGAGCTCATAGTTTCATAGAGGAAGTGGTGGCGGCGCTCGCATGTCCTGTTGCCTTTCAATAGGCCGCAGACGCTAACGTTGTGTGCTACGACATCACTGTGCATAAGAAAAACACGTTTTAGTGAAGGGAGTTATACAACTTATTTTGTTGCACAGTGCAGAACAAAGATGAAGTCAGCCCTGGTGAGGCCTGTGAGACTCTTTGGTACGAGTGAATGTCTCATCTGTCTTTACTCTGTAGATACTCGGGTTGTGTACGTGTTGTATCGTATAGAATCAGTTGCCCAGTAACATTTTTTTACTTTTTCCCAGCACTGGGATTACTTATGCTTCCTCCAAATTGTTTAGGACTGAATCAGCTCACCTGTAATTATTAACTCCCATCTCTGTTCCTGAAATCTTGCGTTCGTGTTGAACTCACAGGTATAGTTTCCTGCGTGAGACTCCTGGACGTTCTCAATGAGCAGTGCTTTCGGCGGACTGTCTGTTATGTTTATGTTGCGGTGGGTAGATTCATTACTGCTGTGCAAGTTGTCCGGTGGTTTGAAACTGAACAGCGTGACCCCGTTAGTTTTCCACGTCAGCTGAACGAGAGTGACGTTTGACTCGGTCTTGCAGGGCAGGATCACCCTGCTGCCAACCTCCCTTGAGATGGTGCTTCTCTCTGTGTTGGGAAAAACACATTTTAGATTTCACTACTTTGGCACCATTACATTTCCTACTAAAATTAAAATATTACTTTTGGGGAAAGTGTTTCTTGGTTTTCTTGCCAAGTCTTCTCAGATAACTCTCGGAAAGACAATCAATAAACCTATTTCCCAAATTTGTCAAGTTATCTGCTCACATCTATTGTCAGGGTAAGAGGATTGTAAATGAACGTTACCTGCTAGTGAGGAAATCCAGGACATGCAACATATGATAGAAAATTTCCAGTTGATGCAGAAATAATTACAAAAATTCTCCATCCCACCTAGGCAAAAACATAGTTTCCTTGTTAACATCATATTTAAATATTTCATTTTTTATTTTCAACAGAAAAAGCCTCACCGAAATTAAAAGTCCTATTTTAAAGTGTCCTGGCCAAAATAGACAGATACAACCAGAAATTACAGAATGAAAAATGAAATGTGACATCGCAAAAATATGTGCAGAGCAACTAAACAAACATAAACACTTACGTACGTAAATCATTAATAGGAGTGCTGATAAGAATCGTTAAGAATATATAGTTTGCAAACCCAGACGCGGGATAATGAATAAAGAAACTACACTTACTCGCTAGTAGTGATTAGCAGCATGTGCTGGTGTGTTCAAGTGTGAAGAACACTAGGCCAGCACTCCCCCTCAGACACATGCAACAGCTTCTACACAGGAAGCGGATCTTGTGACGGTGGTCTATGGCTGTGTGAGCAGTATGCCCTTTGTTTGTGTGTGTTTATGGGGATGCACAGTGTGTTGTGACCTCTTCATCAAGATTTTGGTTGAATACAGTATATTGCAGAAATGTGGCTCACCATGTACTGAACTGCTCTAGAGTGTGTGAGGCCTTGGATCAAATAGCATGGTTCCTTTCTCTTATTATCATAATTCTGAAAAAGTAAAATGTACTTAACATCTTCATTTTGGCCGAACCTGTTTGATTGTAGAGGGAGATTTGCGGTCGAGGGCTGAGCAGCCGCAACGTGGACTCCAGAAATGGGCGATGGTGGCGGCAGATTAGGCCGATAGAATGATGAGTTGACGAAGGTTATAAATTAGTGAAGGGTCGAAGAGAAGTGGCGACAAAGAGGGTGCGTAACAGCAAACACGAACATACCAAAGGCGGAGAGATCAGAGAAATCCTTTTTAAAAAGAGACATCAGCAAGACGATGGGGTAAGTGCTTAATTGTGTCACTTTGCTATTGACTCTAAAAGACGAGCTGGTCAGAAAAGCTGATGTCACGATTGACAGACCCAAACAGCAAGGACATTATGAGTGAGCATGCGTGAGGGGGGGTGGGTGGCAGATATGCAAAATAAACAACAGTTCTAGAAATGCAAAAGTGAAATCTTCTCGACAGAACTTACACTACAGCTTCATGCGCATGAGAATTCAATCACAGGCCTAAAAAGGAAAAGTCTGGCTAGTGTGTGGGTGTACAAACCCGAAGCCTTTCCTTCTAATGTGTCACCGATTACAGGCTGCTGTGTGTTCCGATACTCATCCCACCATACTGTGGAGTACGTCGCCCTGTCGTACTCTGCAGAGCATCAAGCCACCTCGCTTGTTTGGGCCGTCATCAACCTGATCCTCTTCAAGGTGCCATGTTATGAGGAAGTTATGACGCTGCAGTGTGTTCTAAAAACACAAATAATGTGTGATTTGGAACACAATGTTAATGCAGTCAGTTTGATATCATTATGTTACAGCTTTGACATTTCTCTTCTCTCACATTTTTGTGTACTTTTATCTGTAAAATGAGATAGTTTCCTTCCTGCCAGTCAACGGTTTTCTCTTCGGTTTGACTGTTTTCAACGTGGCAGAATCGTCCCAACGTTTTACCACATGACCAAGTTTAGAATTCTACCAAACTCATCCGGCCACCCAAATACATATACGCTCAGTTACTATATTGATCTGCACACTTTAACCACCAAACCTGCGTTTGATTCAATAGAGAAAGAACGGGTCCGGCAATATAAATACCTTGAACAATACTGCCTCATAGTGGTGGTTTATTAATTTACCTCTCAAGCTTCCATCAGTCCTCAAGAATCAATCCTAACTCTGTTAAAAGAAATCCTGTTTTCTATATCATGCTTGGTTTTCAAATGTTGAAAATATATTCCTACCACTCTTCAGCCACAATTTAAGATCCGTGTTCATTTTGTCGTTTAACAACTGTCGGTTATGTTAAACAAAGGGAACCATAATGATTTAACTTTTTAACTTTAACCGTGTCATAATAATACGTTGAGTGCTACGGTGATGCCCTCTTTGTGTGTGTGTGTGTGTGTGTGTGTGTGTGTGTGTGTGTGTGTGTGCAAAGCAGGAAAACACTGAAACAACACTTCTTGACCACGTGTGACTTTTTATTGCTTTGGTTCACATTCCATAAGAAGATATTGCCACACATCTATCAGCAAAGAAGACTACAAGTTAGTAAAAATGTTGTTCTTTTTGTTCTTTCCAAAAATTAATCATGTCTTCTTACAAACATACAGTCAATGCAACAGTCTTAAAATATGAAAAACGTACATTAACGGTCGTATCAATGCACACAAGAACCAGCGTCGCCCTTAAACTGTGAGAAGGTCAAATGCTAAAATGTGTCTCACAGCGTGAGTCTGCGCTGTGTCACATTGTTCATTGCCGCAAACATAAACCTTAATGCCCTAATATCGCCTGAATATCATTCAATTATCAGCTGTTTACTTTAAAATCTTGTTGTATAACCAGCAGCGCTGCATAATGGAGACAGTTTTCATGTCTGTAGCGGATTTTGGGGATTAGTAAGTGGTACTGAGGCGACGCATACAAAAGGAAACTCAAAAAAAAAGATATAAAATAAATCAAGTTCACATAGGTACCAGAGCAAAATAAGCACGTGTTACAATCTTCCGACTGTTGAGGATTTACAATCACAAATAAGGCACAGGAAATCCCACAGTGGCAGCTGTTCCAATAAACAAAGCCGGAGAATGTGAGAGGAAGATTTGTGAGAAACCCAAGGCATACTTTAAGGCTTTAAGGCTTGACAAGTTTTGTATTGAAATTCTTGCTCATTGTTCACAAAGAAATGTATCTTTACTCCGATTAATGCATGATTCCGCTGTGTTTTTTGAGATTAACTAAATTCTGTAATCACAATTATAGCCTGTGTGATTCCTCCAGACAGTGAAATAACTGAAACCAGCCGCTCTGCACATTGTGCACATTATCAGACACGAGATGGGGCGTTATGTACAGCGGGAGTCACCCCTAGTTGTTTGTTTCTCTTTGCATTTGAAAGCATGCAGTGAGTATTGTTATTTTCTCGCGAGGTAACGACATGCTGTGATCACGTGAAATTAAGTAGAACCATTTTTTCACAGCCAGGTCAAGGATGCTTGTTTTCATCGATGAGCACGGTTTCTTTTATTGTCTGGCCTCCAACAATGCTTTGTGCTGATGGTGCACGATCTTTATCGCCCGGACGCCTGTTTGTACAGCACGAAAAGAGAGGATTTGGCCTGAGGTCGCTACTATGGTTCATTCTCTGATAGGTCAAAATGAGCCCTGCTCGCTGCCAAAGTACACAGTTCTACATAAAGGCTACAAAACACGCGTCTAAAATAAAGGAATGTACACATCACATTGAAAAAGACATTCAACATGTGGTCTTTTTGGGGGGTTTTCCTCACTAACTCAGTTCTTGGCCGTGCTGCCAAGTATATAAACATGAAAAGGAGAGATGCTGTGAAATGTAAGCACATCTCTCTTCACTTGAAATAATCCCATGTAAGTGGTGCATAGATGAGGTTTTACGAGGGTCGAAGGCCTTGCACACAGTCTAAACCGCCGATTGTGCAAAAACAAATGGTACGCTCTCCTCAACCTGAAAATGAAAATTTTCTTCCTCTTCTCAATGCGCTGTTTACCTCTGAATGTACCAGCTGTGACTGTGATTTGTGTATTTGGGGGCAGTCTCACCCGTGCCTTTTGCAGCCGCATGCTGCATTTGCAGTATGTCGCTGTTTGTGTGGGAATGAAAGTCACCGCCAGCGAAAATACTGTTTTGAAGACACACGAGTACAACTCTTTCCCCTATCTACTCAAGCCCCATGTAAAAATTTCTAAATCTCCACTGTATATGAGTAAAACTCTTTCAATAGAAAAAGATGTTTCTAAAAATTGAACATGGATTTTCATCAAGTAAAAACATTTCCCCCCTGCATGTGTCCTTTCCACATTTTTTAAATATAAGAACACACTTAATAAAAAACCTACTCCTCCCGTCTTTAACCTCTACTTTATGTTTCATCTGATCACAAACACGCAGATTTTTGCCTCAATTAGAATTGTAGCCTGTGTTCTGAAGGTTTAAATCTATCCCTGTTGATTTTGTTTTTTCATGCGTTGGTTGTCAACCTGCCTGTTCAAGAGTGTGCGTCGTCTTGAGTTAGATGTGTGCGTGCTCTCTCTTTAGTTGAACATTTGGTGTGTGCAGGTGTACATGTGCTCTCTCTCTCTCTCTCTGTCTCACATGTTCATACGTTAAGATCGTCTGACCTGGCCCTGCTGCTGGCTTTGCTCAGTCGGCTCAGCGGTCTGGTGTCTTCTATCGTATCCGTGACCTCCATCCTTGTCTCCTCTGGATTTACCCCCTCCCCGTTCCCCGCTTCCTCTACCTCCAGATCCTCATCCGCACCCTTCTCCACTCTCTCTGCTTCTGCCTCTGCCGGCTGCACCTCCTCGGCCTCCTGGCGTAGCGTCACCCCCGCCGTCTCGGTGGTCTGGGCGTAGGAGGGCAGAGTCTCGTCGTACGCCTTAGAGATGCCCCCCATTGGCAGCACCTCCTCCGCTTTCTCCTCCAGCCCCAGGAAGGGTGGGGGCCCTCTGCCAGCCTCCATGCCCACCTCGGTGAGCGGGTAGAGCTGAGTCATGGGAGCTTTCTCCTCCTCCAGCAGCCTGTAACCCTTCGCTCTTTGAAGGGCTGGCATAGCCAGAGGGGGCAAGTTCTTTCCTGGTGGCGGCAGGGGGGCCGTGCCCTCCCCTTGAGCCGGGGCCGGGGCCGGCTTGCGGAAAACGAAGCGGATCTTCTTCAGGCCCAGGTGACTGATCTCCACAAAGTTGAGGAAGAGCGAGACGCAGGCAACGGCCAACATGAAGATGATGAAGACGGTCTTCTCCGTGGGCCGGGACACAAAACAGTCCACCGTGTTGGGGCAGGGCCAGCGGCTGCATTTATACAGCGGCAGGATGCGGAAGCCGTACAGGAAGTACTGTCCCACCACGAAGCCCACCTCAAACAGTGTTTTGAAGATGATGTGGCAAATGTAGGTCCTCAGCAGGGTGCCCTCCAGCCTGAACTTCTTGCTGCCCTTGGTGCTGGTCTCCTTGGTGGTGCGGACGCTGCCCTGGTCGGGTGCCAGGGGGAGACGCTCCTCGCTCAGCTCCTGCTGCCGGCTGAGTTCCGCCTCCTCGCGCTCCTTGCGCTTCTCCTCCATGTGCACATGGTGCACGGCGTGACCCACGTACACCAGAGACGGCGTGGACACGAAGATGATCTGCAGCACCCACAGGCGGATGTGGGAGATGGGGAAGGCCTCGTCGTAGCACACGTTTTCACATCCCGGTTGCTGCGTGTTGCAGACATAGTCAGACTGCTCATCGCCCCACACAAACTCCGCCGCCGTGCCCAGGATGAGGATACGGAAGATGAAGAGCACCGTGAGCCACACCCGGCCGATCACCGTAGAGTGCTCGTTAACTTCCTCTAAAATATTACCCAGAAAGCTCCAGTCACCCATGATCGGTCCGTAGCACTGCGGAATGAAGGGTGGGGTAGGAAGAGACACAGAGGGGGCAGACGGACGGGGAGGGTGGGGCAGTGGGGGGCAGACAGGGAGACGGGATTAGAGAGGTCCGTACGTAAGGAATGTCGGAAAAATAGTCAAAAATCAAATATAAGTCATAATTCTGTTCCACCACACGCAATTCATATACAAAGCCTGACAAATTTCAAACTAAAAGTTGTGTCAATTTTTTTTTAAATTAAATTGGAATAAAACATGTTAGGTTTGATATATCAAATAAAGAATGTTTTGCGCAATATAGTTTTTGTCGGCTGGACGGCTTCTTGTTCTCAATGTAAAAAGAATTAGCTACATTAAGAGTGGTGAAAACTAAAAAGTATCTTGTTTAGCTCTTTAAGTTTTTTTATAGAAAATTCTTAAATTAAAAATGTAAAAAGAGATCAATATATAATAAATTATCCTTTCTTCTTTAATGTATGGCACAGGTTAAATGTAATCAAATGGGCAACTTGCCACAGCTGCGGCTCCCGCGAAGTTGAGTCCTGTCCCGTTCTCTTGGCACCCGGCAGGGAAAAGTGAACTTTTTTCTGCCCTCTTTCCCACCTAAAGCCCCGTCCTTGTCGCCCCACTGAGCAGATGTGAATGAATCGGCTCTGATGGTTGGTTTTTAGTTTGCTGCAATATTTAAGCTTGGAGCCAGACGGCCTTTATTTGCCGGGCGACGTGTGGTGACGCAGGAGACAATAGGATCAACAGAGCCAGAGCGCGGATGTATGGGAGCAGGCCTCAGGCTCCCACACCAACATGGACACAGTGCGGCCGGGGCACCGGGTCCACAGCAGAGCAGGCCGGCTGCACGCGGGCAATGTCCTCACACACGTATGTAGAGGCATGAAACAATTGCAGCAGCTGATGTGCCTCCAGCTCGGAGACGATAAAGGAGAGTTTTATGTGCTCCTGCATTAATGCAGCACATTGTTGTTTGTTCGGCTGTTGAGTTCTGGCAGCAGCAGGTTGATCTAAACTTTGGGTTAAAATAACAGTAACGCTCGAACGTTGAGCCTTAAAAATTATTTTCTGATTTTGTTTACTGGAAGGCGGGGTTATTTATTTTTTTTCAATTAATATTTTTGTTTACATTTTTTTCCACACTGCTTCAAATTTACAAGACATCAAAAATGTATATAAGAAAGATTGATGTGATTTTTGTGACAGTATTCTTCAACAAAATAAAACAAAAAACATTTTGATCATACGTTTATAGTTCTCTCTTTCTCTTTTTTCCAAGAAAAGTTAGCTCCTCAGAATTAAATGGTGGCGTTTGTTTCTTTTGTTTTCTTTTCAATAGAAAAATTGGACTCACACTCGTTTTCTCCTAGAAATTCACACATTCTGTTCTCATTGTTAAAATGTTTTAATTTACAAAACTCAATAACCAAAGGATGGAAACCATTTCTTAACTAGATTCAGTGACAAACCAATCAATATACATATTGTTTTTTTTTCCCCTTTTTTTTTCAAAAAATCCCATTTACGTATTTTAATTCTTTTTTGTAATCTTTTTCTTCTCATTTAAACAGTACATCTGGATTCATTTTCAGTGAAGCCTTGTGTGTGTTTGTATGCACGTGTGTGTGTGTGTGTGTGTGTGTGTGTGTATGTATGTATATCTGTGTCACTCAACAGGAATGTGAAGAATCTGAGCTATTGAGTGAAAGCGCACACTGAAATGTCTCTATTATGGAGGTTAGTCAAACTTTCCCAACTCGGAGAAGAAAAACATTCGCCGCGGTCTCTGATCTCTGAATCACCGCTGATGTTTGAACAGAGTGAAAAAGACCGCAGAGACGACACTCTTTGTGAAACCCCTCCAGGTTTGCACAAATGCAATCAACATATTTTTTTGACAAGTGAAAATATTAGGGATGAAATGAATGATGTAAAAATCGTCTTCATGGATTTTGACTAGTAGATCTGATACCTTACCAGATAAGTATCACTTAATCACACACAAGCACGCCAATGGTATTTTTACACTATGCCGTTTATCATGTTTGTATCTTATCATGATCACATACTAATAAAATCAAGAAATAATTAACTTTTTTTCTAAAACTTTTTTTCTAAAGTTTTGCATCAATTAATTTTATTGTTTGGGGAATTTCTTTTGTTCTCATGCCTTTTTTAAATTCTGTCTCATATAAAAGAGAAACTAACTATACAAATCAAACTAAGCTTAAACTAAAGCTTCCACTGCTGGAAGTCCTATTTGTTGTGGCTTTTCTGTTGAAGAAAAGATTTCCATTTGGTCACATTTTAAGCTTTTGATGGTTTTAAAAACTCATATTTAACGTTAAACAAAAGTCTTTCCATGTCCATATGTTTTATATTAGACTCTGAGCAAATGGGGAACAGGATATTGTTACACACATTTGATTAGTACAAACTTTGTTGGAATGCACAATGCTACAATGATGTGGTTTCCTTATGCCAACATTAACTTGTTTCATCATAAACCACATGTTTGGTCAAGCTTATTTGAAGAAAGCTTTTGTTTTCCTCTTATCCAAATTACCGGCACCCACTGATGCATCATATTGAAAGGAAGGAAAAAAGCAATTATATGGCAGTCTGAAACAGTCAGAGACATTTTTTTATGGTCACACAAAACATTTCCCTTTGCACAATCTAATTTCCAGGTTCCATGATTGTTCTTTATTCCCAGGAGCCAATAAAGTTTGAAACATGGTGTTTTCTTTGATGTCTGATTTCCCTTTGATACAGAGATTTCTTGAGTATATCTATCCAAAGCACCAATATAATCCATCAATTCAACATGACCTTTTATTAGAAATAAAAACTATTGCTTAATATTTTGTTCTTTGGAGATTGGTTTTGTGTGGATAGAAAATGTGTCGTATAAGGTCACCTCCATTGTGGTCACACAAGGAATTGTTTAAAATATGTTGAATTATTAAAAGATGCTTTTTCTTTATCTTTTTCATTTGTAATTTAGAAAAATATCCCTGTTTTGTCAACACTGTATACTATATACACTTATACAGTGTTGACAAAACAGGGACATTTTTCAATTCCTTGTGTGACTACAATGGAGGTGACCTCATACGGGCCACATGTAGACATCGACAAAATCAGAAATCATCATTTAATAGTCTTCACTCCTTTTATGGACGCATCTCCACTCTGCCGATCTTATTACAGCCGACTCTCGCCCGTCTCTCAACCAATAGCGTTCTCTGTCCTATGTGACATCACTGGGCTGGTGAACTGGAGACGCCACCTCTCAATGTCTGCTCTCTGATTGGTTGGTTTGTGGCAGGTTTGGCCTCCACACTGAGCTTCACTGATCCCGCAGCCTTTCACAAATGGATGATGTAATCTTAGAACCAGTGTGAGGCTCTATCTTGTTAAATGTGCCCAACATGTTTGCTACAGTCCCTCTCTGAATGACATCCAGGAACATGAGTGTGTTGTGTTAGCTGGATAGCTAAAGCTAGTGTCCATACATCCAGGAGCAGTGATATCTTACACACAAATGTCCTCAACAAAAAGCCCAAATACTGGCTCCTCTGGGCCCCGGGGCGGCACGTGGGCTCAGCGCGACGGGTTGGAGTACGGAAGCCATGTTCAGAGCTCTGTGGAGGCATCAGGGTGTATCCACTGAGCCGGGGGAGCAGGGGACTCCCTTTAAAGAGCTGTGTGTTGCTATAGTGGACGCTTGCATGCTAAGCCCTACGGTGGGCCCGTGAATGGCACCGGGATTTCACATAAAGACATGATGTCATGATGCAGGGTGCGGACTCTATTGAGCAGGTGCAGTGAGGCGTGAGGCCAGATTAGGCCGCCGAAGCAGGGCAGCAAATGGCCGTTAATCAGAATGCTAACACGCTAACAAGCATATCGTGCCGCGATCTGCCTATGGTGCGATGGTGCCGTGCGCTTCCTGCTCGCAGGGCCTTTGAGAGTCAGGCAGCAGCTGGAATCTTACTGCCGTAAGGCCTTATCAATCTGACGCAATTTCAGACACGTATTTCGTTCAACAATATGCATTATCTGAATCCAACACGTGGTTTGTTTTGGCCTCGTGGTAACCTCTCACACAATGTCCCACCGCTCCCTCACCCAAAAACACCTTTCAGGACGAGTGTGTTTTTCCACTGAAAATAACCTTTTCTTTTACCCATGTGCCAAATAATGAGCAGCAATGATTTCCTCTCGTGATCGGATGATAATGGATTAATACTAAAATTACAAGGTAGTTTCTGATCATTCGGGGGTTCTGGATTCAATCCTTTGCAGTTCGGGTTTGGCCTCATCGTGTCGTTGCTGATGCTCGTGGTTGGTCCGTGGTTCTCCGTCTGAACTCTTCTCGGGACAACAGAGGGCGTTATCAGCAACAAGGACTGCCGCAAGGGGGAACCGGCCGTTACTAACTGCAAGCTCGCCTTTTGAAAGAAAGGTTACATGTATGGTATATTTGCATGAAGTTGATAGTGTTTAAAGTGGGCTTTTTGACTCAGCTCTGACCTCTGCTTAAAAGAGCGAATACAAACTTTAATGAAAGGCGGGAAATCCCTCTGACTTCCGTCATCAATCATATGCTTACAACTAACTTATATTAACGCTCATTTTGAGAGGTCTTAAAATAAGTCTGAAACTCCATTTCATTAGCGAACAGGCAAAAATCTGCTCTAAGTCCTCTATTCAGTAATGTTGAGTCTCAAGTGTGTAATGCATGAAGACTGCTGTATTTTATGACCTCAGCAGTTTCGGTGGACAGCAATTCTTCCCAGAGCTTAATAGTACACCATCAGAAAAGCAGTCCCTATACAACAAAGAATAACTGCCATTAACCCAAATGTTCTTATAGCACCTGAATGCTGTGAAAACACCAAAAACTAATAATAGTCCTCCTCTCAATAAGGACGATACATTGCATACGGTCGTGCCTCATAATTAGCGAGTGCAATCAAGGAACTGCAATGTGCTTTTAACGTTATTCAGAAGAATCTCTGTGAATGGAGACTTG